CTAGATTACTGGATTACTATAAAAATATATATATATATTTTTAAAATATATTAATAAAAATTAGATTTTGCATTTTATTATTATTAGCAAGTATAATTTTAAATAATAAGCACCTTTATATTAATAATTTTATATTAATTAGTTTAATAAATACTTATTTTTTAATGTAAAACATCAATTAATTTTAATAAAAAAAGAATAAATAATTATTAAATATATTTTAATCTTAACATTATATTTATCATATAAAAGTAAAATTAATATTTTTTTGCAATTTTTTTCTTTTAATTATAAATGTCTTATACTATATATTACATTTAAAAAGAATAATTTATAAAAGTATTATTATATAAAAATCAGTTTAAAATGTTGAAAAATTATCTAAAATTATAAATCTTTAACAATATTTTTTAAAATAAAAAATTAAAGATTTATATTAATAATAATAAAAGCAAAAAATTTATATTAAACAAAAATTTTACAAATTAAGTATAATGTACTATTTTTTCTTATTTAATAATAATAAAAAATTCAAAATAAATGAAAATAACATAATAATTATTAGTGATGCCCTGTCTAATTATTTTTATCATGACTAACTTTTGTCAAATTTTGTGTTAACTAAATTTTTGACTAAAGTCTAAACTTTAACTAAACTTTTAGCAAATGACTAAATGACTAAATTGCTTTATAATATATAAATTTTAAATTTTATTTATTAAAGAATATATTATTATTCAATATTTATTATTTTAACTTAAATATTTTATTATTTATATTAATTAAATATATAATTAAAAAATATTACTAATAAATATTATAGATAAAAATTATTTATATGAAAAATTTGTTAGAAAAATTAGGTTCTGAAAATTTTTTTAATTAAAATTAAGATTTTATTACATTTAATCTAATAATATCAAAAACTAAAATACAATAAAAATTAAAATTTTATTAAAAATTTTTAGTACTCAATTTTTCTATTAAACTTCCTATATACAGTCAACTCTTATTATAATGAATTCTATATTTTAGACCTTAACTTCACTATAAAGCTATAGTGAAGATTTTAAAAGATTTGATTAGTTAATTTGCTATAATAAAAGTATTTTTATTATATTTGTTCAAAAAATTCATTATATCAAGAGTTTGCTATATCAAGAGTTGATTGTAGTAAATAAAATATAATAAATCATATTTTATTTACAAAAATTCTAAATTTCTAGAATTTATAATAAAATAAAATATTATTAAAAATTGTGAATTAAAATTTATGAAAAATTCATAGAATATCCATAAAAAATCTATAAAAATAAAGTTTTGCCATTTCAGTATTTTAATTATTAAAAACTAAATAGTTTTAGTTTCATCATATGATTAAATATTTTAGTTTTGCTTAACATCATTAATAATTATATAGAAATTTTAAAAGAAAAAATTACCAAAAAAAATTTTTAATTTATAACTAAATATTATTTTTTTAGTAAAGTAAATGTAGATTTAAAAATAAATTTTTTAGTAGTTTACTTTCTGTCTATTACAAAATATTTATATAATTAATATTTATTATAATTAAAAAAAAATATTAAATAAAAATAAAATTTGTAGATATAATATTTTAATATTATATATATTTATATCAAAAATATTTAGAATATTAATTAAAAAAATATAAAAAAAGCTTTTTTTTAAATTTTAAATTATATAATTTTTAATTATATATACCAAAAAAAGTTATATTAATTTAGAGTTAATAGAAAAAAAATATATAATTTAAATTTATTACTATTGTAAATAGTTGTATAATAAAGTAGTAGTATGAATACTGTATTCTTTTGAAAATAAGCAACTCTTAAAATAAATTATATCTAAAAATAAGCAATACACTGAATATTTAATTAGTTTCACATTAAAATTATATGTAATAAATAAGAACATTTTAAATAATAAAATAAAGCTCAAATAAAATAAAAAAAAAGTATTTTATTAATGAATTTTTATAAAATAATTGCTTGTATCACTATCATAAAATATACACTATTAATCACTAAATTTTAATACAAGTAAATATATTAATCACTTTTATCACTAACAACTTCGCTAGCTGTCATTACTAGCATAGCTATTATCATTATCACTACAATCATCACTACTAATATTATCATCATCATAATTATCACTACAATCATCACTATCAATGTTATCATCAACATTATCATCATTTCAATCATCACTATTAGTGTTATCATCACTATCTTTATTATCACCATCACTAATTTCTAATTCAGAAACTGATTCATTTAAATTAATTGAAATTTTACAAGTCTTGAAAGATTCTATGATTGTTTTATCATAGATTGCTTTTCAAACAAACTTTACAAACAAGCATACATTACTCAATATAATAAAATGAAGATTTTCTGTGGTAGTTTCTCCAACACCTTCACTTACCATTCAAATATACAGAATAATTGGCATTTTTTATTTGTTGCAATTAACGTAATAACTAGTGTAAATTAAGTTCATAAATTAGTTTACGATGTACATAACATATATTAAATGACCAGTGATCATGTTAGAGTTATGTTAATTTATAATACAAAAAATCAAAATTTTAACATACAGTACATTAAAAAAATTTAACTACCCAAAAATAAGCAACATTATAATAAAATTACGTTGCTTATTTTTAGAGGAATACAGTATATATAAAATATAAATACTCTTTTAATTAACCTGAAATATATAAAAAATTATATATTACCTATATAAAATAATACAAATAATATAAAAGTTATGTTCTTAATTTATTTTTAAATTAAATATTAAAAATAGATGTATCAAAAATAATACATTAGACTTTATAATAGTTTATTTATTTAAAATATAGAAAAGGACTATATACAGTCTGTATTAAATAATACAAAAAATATTTTAATATTTATTTACTTAAAATTTGAATTAAAAAATGATTGATTCCTTTTAATGCATTTGTATTTCAAGTTTAATAATAGTTTTTTAATTAGTTTAAAAGAATTAAATATGTATAGAAATAAACGTATCTATATTAGAAAATAATTTATATAAATTATTTAATTCATTAAAAAATTTTTTTATATATTTTATAATACTTTTTTAAAAAGGTTGTATAATTTATCTCTATTATAAAATGAGCAAAAATATTTAGTAATGTTAGAATTTTTTATATCATAAAATAATATTATTTCTTGAATACTATAATTATCAATAGGTATAATAAAAAGTATTGTATGTAAAACTAAGTTATAGAAGTAAAGGTTTAGTAAATTATTTTTTTATTAACTTGTATTTTAATTATAGCAATTATAATAATTATCATAATTATATTAAATATGTTTTATTTATGAAAAATTATCTTAATTATTAAATTATCTTCTTATAGATATAAAATTATATGTAACTGGAAATGATTTCTTCAATACTATATATAGGATGACTATATCCGAAAAAAATTTTATTTTTTACTTAATAATAAAGGAACATAATAAAATAGTAAGAATTTGAAAAGTCAGCTGTTCAAAATTTTCATAGATTTCATACTAAATTCAAACCAAAATTGGGTTTTTATTATGATCGGAATTTATATGATTTGATCGTCATAATATTACATCATGGTTTATGGTTTATTTTTAGAAAATATGAATTATTAAAATGCATATAGTACTAATTTTATATTGCCGATCTTTTGTATGATTAAAAAGTAGATTATTATAGTTAAGCATGTTCGTATGAAAAATTTTTTACTAAATCAAGTCGGCTCAATAATTTTTTTTTTTTTTTCATATATCTAAATTAAACTTGAAAGCAGATTTTTTATTAAAACGGAGGATCTAATTTAATGAATTAATTTTGAATATGTTATATATAAATATTACAAAGTAAACGTGGTATGATTCATGAAAAAAGCGTAGATACTAAAATTAAAAGCAATAATTAATATTTTTGTTATTATAGGTAACGCTATGATAGATTATGACGTGTTATGTTATGCATTCATGATTTCATTGATCGTGAAATATCATTACCTATTTCGAAGGCAACGACCATAAGACCATCCCATTTTCGTAAGTCACGCGAGCATCCATGATGTTAAATAGTTTGCGATTTGATGTGAAACGGGATCTAATATTCGTACTACAATTTCAGCTGTATCGTTACTAACGCTAAAAAAACCAAGTATCAAGTAATTACTTAGTGCGACGTATTTGAACAAATATATTTCGGTCGAAATTTGATTAATCATTTTTCCCGAGACAAAGAGAAGTTACCCAAAATAATTCGAACAATATAATAAATTGTGCTGCGTATGCCGGTTCTTGTCATATTAATCGGGTTTATCCCTACGCCTGGGTCCAACCCGAATTTGATTGGGAATCGATTGATTGTTCTATAACAAAAAGTTAGAATTCTAGATTAAATTAATTTATATTACAGCTAATTCCCATATATTGATCGACGTAAATAAACTGTAAAAATGTTCAAGCACCTCAAATTTCAATTTCATTTGAGTGGTCAGAATAATTAATGAATTTTAGTTGCAATATTGGTTGTAGCACTTTAAAAAAAAAAAAATAACTAACCGAGGGTATTTTTTCTTTCAAATTATTAACCATCTTCTTTCCCCGTTTTTTTTTTAATATTAACGTCCCTCCTTTATTCATTCATTATACATTTTCAAAGAGCTCATTAATTTCTCTATTAGTATTAACCCTTGACTGAAAAGATCAAGGTAAGAATTCGTTTTGTTGAAATTGAAGATTTTACAATACTTTTCAAGTAATGTGTTTATATTTAAACCCTTCGAGTATTTATACGTTCTTTTCCTTATTATGTAGTATTAATACAATAATACGAGAAAGCAAAGACTCTATTCTCCCTTCCTACACCAACTCGTTCGACAAACATAGAATCTTACATAATTCTTTACAAGTTTTATGTGCTAAACATATATTAATACCTAAATGTCATATTTTCAAGATCAATATTATAATAATGGTTCTGGCGACCAAAGAGAATATGATGGTGGATTTGCAAATAATCCACGAGTTCAAGGAAATAATATTCCTTACTCAACACAAAATTTAAATACAAGAGGTAAATTTTTTTTTTTTTACCTTTTGCTTTTATGTATTATATAGAAACTTTTGATATTTCCAATTGGATTCTGACAAAGATAAGTGAAAAAAGTGTTCAACTGTAGAATTATTTCGTTTACTTACTTTTAAGAGGATTGAAAAAACCCGCAATAAAATTTTATAAAAAATGAACGGAAATGTTGGGGGAAAGCAATGTGAATATGACTAGTTGATGTATATTTGGTTGGTACTTTAGGTTCGGATTCTTACATGAGCTCTTCTACGGCTGTAGGTACACCACGCGGGAGAGCGGATGATAACGACAGTGCATCGATAACTTCTTCCATTTATTCTCAACCGAGTGTATCGGGAGGTGCACCTTCAAGTAATATGCAATATTATCAAGGACAACCTTTTAATTCAATGGAGCCACGCGGCCAGTTCATACGTAACGAACCTTTTCATCATGAAGATGATCCACCTTCCCCTATTGCTGCTTCCACAAACACGCATAATAGCGCAGTAGGACTCACTCAACAAGGTTATCAGAATGAAAATAATTATATACCGGACTATTTGGAAGAAAATCATTATCATGATTTTCCGCCAAATTCACAACCGAAACTTGAAGTTTATGATGATTATAATAATAACTATCAGAATGATGAGCCGTACGATAATCGTTATCAAAATTATTCACCAAATTCACAACCGCCATTAGATGTTTATAATGATTTTAATAACATTAATGATAACTATCAGAAGGATGAACCGTACGATAATCGTTATCAACAAGATCCACAACCGCAATTTGATGTTTACCATGACTTTAATAACAACCATCCGAAGGATGAGACTTACGATGATGAGGGAACACGCAACAATACCCTAACAGGAAATGATGCATATGCCATGAACATCGATAATGTAACGAGCACTGGAAAGTCGGCCCGACATTCAGCAACCGGAGATCACTTTGTAGTCACCCCTAAAAAGGGACGACGATGTGCTCTCTGTTCAAGAAAAATTTGCGTGATAACCACTTTTATCCTCTTAGTGTTATTAGCAGGTGGAATGTTTTTTGTGTGGCCACGTATTCCTAAAATTGAAATTTTACCAGCAACACCAGTGGGTGATGCAGTAATTACCCTAAACCCCGTAGCTACACAAATGGATATGGAATTGCAAATTGAATTTGACAATAGAGAGAATTGGTTACCCTTTAAATTCAATTCACTTAATGTTGATGTAAGAGGGAGTTTTTTTTTTTTTTTCCTAAATATTTATTCATTCATTTATCTTTTCTAACTTTATAATATTATTGTTTTTATAGGTCTATAATTCGGCAAGACTTAGTTCATATAACAGACCACTAACTACTAGTAGCAAAAAGGGGTTTTCAATTCCAGGAAGGGCAAAAACAAAAGTTTCCATCCCTATTTCGATTGATTATGTTGGTTCACAACCAAATGATCCAGTAATTCAAGATTTTATTAGCGCATGTACTCAGCCACCGGAAGGCGAAACTAGAGGAGTTTTGAATCTTAGATTAGACTTTAAAATGTTGATAATGGGATTAGATTGGGTTCATAAACCAACAAAAACCATACCAGTTGCAGAATTTCAATGTCCATTTGAAGTAGCACGTCCATCACCATTAGATGCACCTGCGACAACTCCCGATCCTGCTTCTGACCCAGGTGCCGAACCACCTAAACAACCCGCTGACCCAGCTGCCGAACCACCTAAACAACCCGCTGACCCAGCTGCCGAACCACCTAAACAACCCGCTGACCCAGCTGCCGAACCAC